CTCTTGACCTCGTGATTCACCCACCTCGGCCTCCCAAAGTGCTGGGATTACAGGCGTGAGCCACCGCGCCCGGCCAAGAATTATATAATTTTAAAACTGGAAGAGTGAGTTTAAACTTTGCTCGTGTTATTACATCATTAACTTCCTGGTTAACAGAAATAGTTACCATCCTATGTGGATACTGTGTAAGCTGCACTATTTGATTACATGCTTTAGAATTTCTGAGAGTGATTCAGTGACTCTTCTATTGTTATTTCATCATTTATGCCTACCGTAACCTAAAATATATTCCCATACAATTTAAGTGTCATTGAGTTATAATACTACCACTATGCTGAAAATGCATCTAAAAATTAGTAACTTTGGAAGAGGGTAAATGTAATATGTTGTTGTGAAGAAAGCTAAACAAGGAGGCTCTGTTGTCAACTTAAAGAATACCATTCTGAAGAAGGAGTACCAAAGCAAAAGTTGTGTTTCAATGATTACAGATTTATAAATGCTAGAAACATATCTCTCTTTCTTCATCTTTATTCCTACTGGAAAATTCCCTTAGAATTATAAACATTTTGATTTATTAAAGTTCTTAAGGAATGTATTCCTACCATAAAATAAAATTACTCCATATAAGTGAAGTATTCATATTTTAGAATTGGGAAGAAAACCACAAGATGAATTGGAAAAAAACTATAAATTTTAAGTTCTGAGACGGAAGAGTAGGATCTATGAGGCAGACTAACAAAGAGAAACATCATGCTTTAGATTGAAGAGTCACCTAGGTATATCTAAGCAAGTGATATTTTTGCTTTGACTTACTGGATGAGTACGACTTTGTCAGGTAGAAGCATGGATGGAAAGGCATTCCAAACAAATGTCTTCAGCAGAAAATACTCGACACACTTGGGAATCTGAATGCCAAGCTAAAAGATGAGGAAGAAGAGAGAGGTCAGTCATGCAGGACTTTATAGACCACAGCAAGTATAGAAGAGGGTTCCAGTGCAGAGATAAAGACTGTGGGTTCACATTCTAGCTCTGCTACATGTATTAAATTACTTACCTCTCTTTGTTTCCATTTCTTTATCAGTAAAAAAGGAATATTAAATAGAGCTTCTCATGCAAGTTGTGAGTTTCAGTGAGTTAAAATATAGCATTTATTATTTTTAGAGATTGTTTTCTGAATGTAAAGAAATGCTATTGCAGGATTTTAAGTGATATACCTACTTTATCTTTTTAAAAAGATCATGTCCCTTGTTTCGGAAAGTCTTGATGGTAATTGACAGGTTTCCAACTCATTTTGAATAAGTAGCTTTTGAACTTGCAGGTACAATCCAAACATGTCCATCTAAGAGAAAAATCAAAATCAGATATAAATTTGTCCCCTAAAAATTAAATGTTAGAAGATAGGAAGTGAGGAGTGACTAAGAAGTTAAATCAGGATGCCCATAATTTTAATAATGGTGAGATTTTTAAAACTCACAAATGGTTACTACTTTAGGCATGATAGGCAAATGCAGAATTCCCAAACTAAGCTGTCTCACTGAGTTTTAAACTAGGCCATATATGTAAAGTTAAAATATAAGGGAATGGAGTAGGCTAAGATTTTTTAAGCAGTTTATGAAAAGCATTGCCATTAAAGAAACAATGATAAATTGAACTTTATTTAATTTGAGAACTTACCTTCAAAAGACAGCATTAAGAGTCAGGCATGGTGGCATGTGCCTGTAGTCCCAGCTACTCAGAAGGCTGAGGCAGGGGAACTGTTTGAGCCCAGAAGCTCAAGGTCAGCCTGGGAAACATAGTGAGACCTTGTCTCAATCAATCAATCAATCAATACACACATACATAAGACAATATTAAGAGAATGAAATATCACTGCATCCATATTACAATAACTAAAAAAAGCACTTGACAGTGCCATTCTGAGGGAGAATGTAAAGCAACTGAAACTCATATTTTGCTGATGGGAGTATAAATTGGTACAACTAATATGGAAGACTATTAGCAGCATCTAAATCTAAATCAGAATCTATTATCAGCAGTAGAAAATCTGAAAATAACGCATGCTCTATGGAGAAATTCTACTTTAGACATAAATACCTAGGTCCCTCAAAAGACGTATACAAGAATATTCATAGCAACAACAGTGGAATTGTTAAATAAGTTATGGCATATGTATGTAATAAATTTTATAGCAATAAAAAGCAATGAATTATATGCTATAGCAAGATGAACCACGCATACCGATTGTTGAGGAAAATAAGCCAGACAAAAAGTTTAAAAATAGGCAGTTCACATTTTGATAAAGGTTGGATTAGTAATTAGCTTTTGTGGTGGGGGAAAAATTGGAGTGAACACTGGGGGGTCTTCTAGATTTCTGCATTTGTTCTGTATTTTGTTCTTCACAGTTTTTTCAAGCTGAATACTCTGTATATATGCACTTTGTGTAATTTAAAATGTAATTAACAATTAAAATGTAACTAATAATGTTTTAAATGTAAAGAATATAAACAAACATCTTTGTTAAGACTTTGCTTTTAGTTTGTTTTTTATTTCTTCTTTCTTGCGTCTTTAAAGGAGATAAAGAGGGTGAGCTGAAGAAAACTGGAACTTGGAACAGGCAAGATGCAGAAAGTGAGAGACAGAAAAAGGAAAATGGGCAAGAGATAGTCTTTAGGCATATGCGTTGGTTGAAAGAACTGAGAAGAAATGAAATAGGGTTAGGCAGATTAATAACAATGTGAAAACCATGGAAAAAGATACTTTTTGCACTCTACCAATGTGGCACTACACACCATTCTAATTTTCTATGTAGTAACCAGTTGACCAGGACTTAGTAACAGCCTGTATTCTTAGGAAATAATTTAAATCTTGAAATGATTTCATTTGGTATTCTGACTGTCCTTGTTTCATGTCCATCCTAGTTCTATGGGATACCTTCTCCAAAATAAGCATACTGTAGAGGCTTATAGGTAACTTAAACTAAAAGAAGAAAAGTATAATTAGTTTGAACAGTTTTAAACAAAGCATCAGACTAGATATTAGGACAGTGCCAAAGTTCATTAACTAGCTTTTTGCAGGTTTAATAATGATATTGCTCTCTTTCACATTATCAATCTATATCATATAGTTAAGTTGTTTTACTGCAAATGTCTCCAATCAACATTTCCTTTGTATGCATATACTCAAATGATATTTAATAAAAAAGAACATCTCCTGTGTGGATTTTAAATTTATCTTATTAAATATTTATATTTTCAAAATGTCTTTATTTAATTGAGTGAGATGCTTGATGCCATTTCAAAATAACCTCAGGTGGTAGGTGTAATGACATATCAAAGGTTTGACCTTTAGCATTTTAGGATTCTATTTGTCTGCATTTTCTTCTGCATTTATTTAGTCATAATTTATATGCTGTTTCTCTGTATGACTTAATGAGTAGATGTATTAGTTATAAGATTCATTAGCCAAAATATATATATGCACACATGTATATATGAATATATATTATTTCTGTACAATCTGACTAGTTATTTTAAATTCATTTATATCTCAACTGTGACAAGGAGAAAATGCTATGTAGGAGGCTGGTCAGTATTTGCATAAACCTCATCCATTCTCGTTAAGCGCTTACCAGAATAGCCCCTCGATCTCTTAAACCTATGCCATTCTCTTCTTACTTCTTTTAGCTTATTATATTATTTTATTTGCCTAGAGATACCTTATTTTCTAGTTATCTGCTATCCCTTTAAAAGAAAATTGAATGTAATATTTACACTGATATAATTAAATTAATATCTGGCAGCATCTTTTTGTATGCTTTGGTAGCATAGTCATTTGTCTGGGTAGCTTTCAGCCTAGAAGGAAAGAAATTATCAATTATAATATTGTGACATTAAAAATTATTTTCATTTGCTCATTTAAGTATTTATTGATTTTTAGAACTAGAGAGTCTAAATGGAGGTTTTTTGTTAAACAGCTCATTGATCACTTAGTCTACATTACTTACCTTTAAATTTTGTTTTAATTTCTCTCAGTTTACACAAATCTTTATCTCAAGAAGAAAATCTGAAGGATCAGTTTAACTACACTCTTAGTACATATGAAGAAGCTTTAAAAAGCAGAGAGAACATTGTTTCCATCACTCAACAACAAAATGAGGAACTGGCTACCCAACTGCAACAAGCTCTGACAGAGAGAGCAAATATGGAATTACAACTTCAGCATGCCATAGAGGCCTCCCAAGTGGCCAATGAAAAAGTTCAAAAGTAAGTAAAATGATCTTGTAATACTTCAAATACATGAAACAAAACAAAACAAAATAGCACTTTCTTTTGGGAACCAAACATTTATTGATCATGTTAATAGTTTAAGACAAAAGTAGACTGAACCAAATGAACCTTTTTAGATTGGATACCATATGTCATATTTGGGGTCAAAAATTTATTTTCTTGGGAATCATTGTTACCGTGTAGGGCAAACCATTTTTATTTAATAACTGATTATCAGTTCATGGAGACCATACTATTTAAATTATTTCACAGTCCCAAGCTAATAGGCAAAGTTATTAGCAAGAGGAAGAGGCAGTCAAGTTACCATCTGAACTCATTTAGCTTTACAATAATCCTGCTTGAATTGAGATCATCTGTGATATTGCAGTCTGAGACTTGTAGATGCATAAAATCCAGTAGGGTCAAATTAATTTTCTTGTGTTGTTCTTCTGAAGTATTCAATACTGCCTTTCACAGTGCATAATTATATTTGTTTATTTTAAATAATCTTTGCATTTTTATTAAAATTTAAATAAAGCTGAATAATCTGTCAGTCCTTTTGACAGCTAGCAAAATGTTAACAAATAGCTTATCAGGCAAAGAAGTCACTTATTAATTTATTGGACTTGAACATTGTAGCAGAATTTTCTGAGACAACTTTATGTAATAGAACCACTGTAATAGAATACATGTAATAGAACATATTTTAACCTTCTTTATGTATTATTAACAGCATTACAGCTTTCATATATCTAGTCACCTCCACTTTCTAAGATATACCTTTTTTCTTAACAATTTTTTTGTCAGTTTTATACTATGAAGTAGTGCTTACTTCAAGGTTTCTTATTTCCCACTACTTCTTATTTGAAAATGTCATCTCAATCATTTCCTCAATATTCCTGAAATTATATTTTGATTAATAGCCAAAGTTATATAAATCAGTAAAGACTGTTTTAAAACAGAATTGTGCATTTTAATCTTTACTGCCAGTGTAAAGATTTGATTTATGTGTATAATATGTATTTATAAGTTAAAAGATTGGGTTTATGTTCAGTCAGAAACTATATCCAGTTATTCACAATGTGCATTAATATTCTAAGAACACCGTGATGTATATAGGTAGATATCATTTCTTTGTAATTCACAATCAGTAACTTTTGACAGTCAGTATCTGATTTAGCTCTGTTTGCTTCAAGCCTACAAATAATTACAAATTTCAAAGTTTTCTTTATATATGACCCTTTAATTTCCATACATGATCAAAACAGTGATTCCCACAGACCAATTCGAATTTCAAAAATCTTTGCAAGTGTTATAAACCTTTTATCTTTTAGGTCTCATCAACTATAATCATCATTTCGTTAAAGAAATCATTTTCATACACCAAGAAGCAGAATCAACATAATCTCAGATAATGGTTTAAATTAAATAACTTTAACTCTGACAAATTCATTATCTCTTCCTTATTTTGTGCATTTAACCACAGACAGTTCGAAACTTTTTAATGGAATGGCACTAATCCATGGATCAGCATTTAAGTACAACTATGTCATTTATAAGAATTAAATGTTAAATCTCTTATTCTTCTGATTTCCAACAATAAGACCTAGATGAAATATTATAGGGTTTTCCTTTTCATATTTGATCCACTGTATTTCATATTTAAGTGCCACCAACTGGGCAAAGTGTATCTTCATGAAGATATTAGCCTATTTTATTGAGTTTAAGAGAAATGCTATCCTTTTAAAGGAAACCAACTTATGAGACTTTGTAAGATGGTATTAGTAGACTCTCTAAACATCCAAAGTCACTATTATTAGCTAATATGTTTAAAAGTTCTTTGAAAATATATCAGTATTCCTGGGAATTTAAAATTTAAATTAAAGGGGTTTCTTCACAATCAAATTTCCCTTCACAATGAAATTTCTTGAATAACTTTCCCCTTTTCCCTTCACAATCAAATTTCTTGAATAACTGATCTATATTCACATTTACTATCTCTAAGTTTTCAATTCCCATTTACTCCTCTGCCCCATTTACTCAGTACACTATTGCTAGCTCGTGTACTTAAATTGTTCTTCTTAAGATCACCAGTAATTTTCTAACTACTAAATTCAATGGCTCATTTTTAACTATGTTTTTATTATACAATGAATATATGTTTATGGTAAAAATAAAGAACTTCATATATCTTCAGCAATATAACATAGTGGTTTAAAAGCTCAGGCTTTGGATTCAGAATGTATAGGTATGTGAACCTGAACATAAAACACTATGCTAATGTGGAAAATAATACATCTATCTCATAACATTGCCATGATAATTCGGTGAGCTAATACATGTAATGCTTTTAGAACAACCTGTATTACATACTTCCTCCTTCCCTTGGCATTTTACTCCATTATACTATCTCATTCCTCAGATGAGCTTCGCCTTTTCAGGACTAAATGCCTTTGTGTATATTGGTCCCTCTGCTCACATAATGTTATTTTAGGATTTTTTTTTTTTAAGGTTAGCAAGCATCCAATAACAAATGCAGTCACTTTTAGAATATTTATCCTACTTCAACTCTCATCATTTAGTACTGTTCATCATTCCTTCTTGAAGTCTTTTCTTAGATTCTGTAGCACCGTTTTTGTTTTTCTACCTTTACGACTTCTCTGACTGTTCCTACTCCATTTCTTTCAGGGAATACATCTCCCAGATATCCCAAAATAATGGTTTCTTAAAGATTTTATTTTTCTTCTACCTCTACACAATTCCCAGGAATGTCATCTATTTCCTTCAGCTTCAACTACTACTTATTAGCCAAACAACTTCCAAATACTTGTCTTAGCACTCACTTATCCACTGAGATCCATTCTCAGATTTCCAAAACTCTTTACTCTTCACTCTTCTGAAAGTAAAGTCCTGCCCATTCTCCTGTGTTTTCTGCCTCAATTAATGGACTTCAGCAACTTCCACGCTGTCCTTGTTTCCTCACTCTTTTTTGCCTTTCACATTCACTTTGCCACAAATCTTTGTTTTGTCTGCTGCCTAAATGTCTCGTGATTCTCCCTAGCTTATACTCTCTTGGTAATTGCATTTATTCATTCAGGCCCTCATCATCAGTCATCTAGACTATTGGAATAATCATAAAACTAGTTGACATTGACCTGCATTAGGTCTTTCATATTTATCCTCCTCACTGCCCCCAATTAATCTTTCTAAAATGTTATTTGTATTATTTCCCTGTTTAAAATTTTTCAGGGCCTCTTCATTCCCTACAAGTTTAATAATTTAACATGATGTATGAGGCCTATCACTTGCCTTCTCCCATTGTTCTAGTATCATATTCTCCCACAACACTACCACAATCTCTTTGCACGTGCTATTTCTTCTTCTTAGAATATATTTCTCCCTTTTATTGCCTGGCCAAATTTTTGTTACTTCTGAAAGTCCAGTCCAAATGTCACCTCTAAAATAAAGCCTTAACTGGCTTTTTCCAGTTAATAATTTATTTTCTCTTTCTTTAATGTTTTCAACATATTTAATCCATACCTTTACTAATCATCTAGGATCTATGATATCTATCTATCCATATACATATATGTCTATATATATATGCATACATACCACTCTTTGAAGTGTCAGGGGAGTCACCATAGTGTTACTTAGTGTTACATAGTCCTTAGCATAAAGCAAACATACTTTCCACAAACTCAGCTGCTTAATCTGTTTGCAGGTTGAATTATAGAGCAGGATAGATGACTCTGGGTGCTGGGAAGAGGAACAGAGTTCATTTCTACATTTTCTCAATTTAAAAAAATAACCTACATATATGTACATCTATAGTACAAATACATATATACATACGTATATAGTTTATATATGCATATACACATATATAGTTTATATATGTATATACACACATATAGTTTATATATATTTATATGCACATATATAGTTTATATATGTAGATAGAATATACACATGTATAATGCATATATACACACATATATGTTATTTATATACACATATATAGTTTTTGTACACATATATAATTTATATATGTGTATATATAGTTTATATATATAATTTATATATGTGTATATAAACGATACATATATATAAATAACATATTTAAATAACATATATAAATTTATTTATATTTATATAAATAACATAAATGACATTATATAAATGTTATTTATATAAATATTTAATGTTATTTAAATATTTAAATAAATATTTATATTTATATAAATAGCATATATAATTTATATATGTGTATATAAATAACATATAATTGTTTATATATGTGTGTATATATATATAAATATATATAAACTATATGTGTTTATATATGTCACTTGCCTCCTCCCATTGTTGTAGTATCATATTCTCCCATATATTATATATGTGTCTATACACATGTATATAATGTATATATATAAAGTATATGTGTCCACACATATATATAAATATGATACCTATATATCACATACATATATAAACCTATATATACATACTATATAAACTATACATATGTGTATATATACATAGATATAGATTATGCATATATATGGCATATATATATATATACACATACATACATATACTTGTGTGTGTGTATATGTAGTTTTGTTTTGGTTTTGGTGGTTTTCTTGAGGCAGGGTATCACTTTGTCACCTAGACTGGAGTACAGTGGCACAATCATACACAATCATGGCTTGCTGCAACTTCAGCCTCCCCAGTAGCTGGGACCATAGGTATGTGCCACTCCACCTGGCAAATATTTTGGGGATTTTTTTTTTTGTTCATTTTTGTTTGTTTTGCTAGAGATGGGCTTTTGTCATGTTTCCCAGGCTGATCTCAAAACTCCTGGGCTGAAGCAATCTGCCTACCTCGGCCTCCCAAAGTACTGGGATTACAGGTGTGAGCCACTGTGCCAGACCTAGGTGATATATTTTATATATCTATTTTGTATCTTCTGCACTCTCTCCCAGATCCCCTAA